TATATTGTGAGACACATACGGATTTAGATAATCACTTGCAGCAATTGCCGGTTGCTGCCTTTTGCCCATCTGACTCGACTAGTCGACGGCCTTGACCACTCGTACTTGCGCTTCCTGATTGTTCGTTTTTAGGAAGCTTTTTAGCTGTGAAAAGAAATATCTTGTTGTAGCAAAACTGTGTCAACGTGTTTTATAATCATAAGCATTTTTCGAAACTGTTTTTTTTTGCTGTTCAATGTAATGTTGCACCAACAGGTGTAGAGTTGCAGTTATCACGTATTTTGAATAGCAATAATGCGTAACACGAGATAGAATCACATTTCTGCGATAACATACTTATTATCAAATAAAATAAAAAATTTATATATGTAGTATTTATTAAATTGAAAACACTAATATATTACTTTTGTAGTATAATTTTTATGCAATTATCTGCCGATAATGTGTAATTAAATTTTAACAGGAAAGAAATAAAAATATACACAGCTCACCAATTGCAAGGAATATGTCGTTAACATTCATTGCTGTTTTAGCAGATGTTTCCATGAAAAGAAGGCCATTTTCATCCGCATACGTTTGAGCTTCATCGTACTCGACGACTCTCTTATTTGCCAAATCTGCCTTATTTCCAGCTAATGCTATTACTATGCTCGGACTGGCTTGGCGCTGCAATTCTTTTACCCATGTTTGGGCACGTGAGAATGTATCCTAGTAAAATAATAAATATCAATTAGTTCTGTCATCCCTTCTCGTTGATTTAACTTTGTTATAAACATTCTACTCCTTCAAATTCACACAAATTCTTATGGATTACTTGCCTGATTTGTTATGTCATACACAACAATGGCTGCCTGTGCACCACGATAATACATTGGTGCAAGACTGTGATAACGTTCTTGCCCCGCAGTGTCCCAAATTTCAAATTTTACAGTTGTGTCATCCAAACATACAGTTTGTGTTAGAAATGCAGCTGGAAATAATTATATTCGCGGTAGTGACAATACAACTAATGTAAAAAAAATATGTTTATGCATTAAATTGCACATAAATGTTCTTACCGCCAATTGTACTCTCCTGATACTCGTGGAACTGTCCTTTGACAAACCTTAAAACAAGACTTGATTTTCCAACTGCTGATTCACCGAGTAAAACTAGTTTAAACTGACAAATTTTTCCTTGTGTTGATCCATTCGGCCTTTGGGCCGTACCCCGAGTCGCCATGATCACCTAGAAAGAAAATTAATTTCTCAATCTTAACTGATTTCGCAAGTTATTAACTGTTAACCATATTGCTAGCTATATTATTAATCAGAAGATGTATTTATGGGGTATTTAAGGAGTATTCTTCTGTTTCACAATAAGTGTTATATGATTGGTGACATCTTCTTTTAACTTACTTTCAATTACATTTAAATGTTACAAAAAAGAAAATATAAGTAGAATGAAAAAATTGAAGTGTATTGAAAGATTAGTATATTATTCTAATAATAATACTGTTTCTTATTAGAAGTTTTTTAGAAGAGTATTTAATAAAAAAATGTATTCTATAATAAAATACTATTAATAAAATTAAAATTTTTTTTATGTATGTAATGCAATACAAACATTACAATGATATTAAAGACTTAATATAATTCCTAAAATCAAAATAAAGATACATCCAATGTTTAGATACACATCGAAAAACTTTATATGCTTGATCTTTTTATATAAAGAAGTGACATACTGTAAGATTTAATAAATTTTAGTTGTCATTATACACAACAAGTTCAATTCAATAGATAAACGCGTCTATTTATACTGGAGCTTTATACCTGACAGATAAGACTTTGCTTCAGGCATACAGGAATTAATTATAATATTTTTAGATTATCTGTGGCCTATATATCTAGCAAAATCCAAATAGCAAATATAATAAGAAACACAAAACAGAATTTAAACGCACAACCGAAAATGACAATCAATTAAGAACAATTGCAAGAAAAACGTGCGGGAGACAGAAGATCATTTTAAGACGAGATATTTGCAATGAAATACGAATGTATACCAGTGATAAGATAAGAAAGTCCAGAAAAACAACGATTGCGGGGTGAAAACGGTATTGAAATAAACGAATTCAATATTCCAAGAATCA